CATCAAAGAATATCATTGCTGATGTCTTGCTGATCTTGGCTGAAAGCAGAGAATATCATAAAAATGTTTACTTGTCTGGGCAGGGAGAAAAGTGCAACAATGAATGAATGGAAATTAAAAAATCTCTGTAAATTTTCATTAAACTTATTAAAATAGGGGAGCTCTGGTGACCTAGTGGCAAGAAGCTGCACTGCAATCCCAGAGGTACATGGTTCGAATCCACCAGATGCTCTGCCGGAGAAGGAGGAGCAATATCCTCCTGTACCAGTCAGATCTGATTTGACGGTACACGCACACAAAATAAGAAAAATAAAAAAATTAAATAAAAAGAAATATGTTAATTCTTTAAAAAATTATTAAAATAAAATCTAAAAAAAAGGTTTACTTGTGTTTTATAGACTATGGAAAGGTGTTTGTCTGGATCATAACAAATTATGGCTAACATTGAGAAGAATGGGAATCTCACAACACTTAGCTGTGCTCATGAGGAACCTATATGTAGACCAAAAAGCAGTTAACTGAATAGAAAAAGGGAACACCACATGATTTAAAATCAGGAAAAGTGTGTGCCAGGGTTGTGTCCTTTTTTATACCTATTCAATTTGTATGCTGAGCAAATCCTTAGAGAAGCTGGACTATACATAGAAGAATGTGGCATAAAGACAGGAGGAAACTTAGCAATGACTTATGTAGTTGAAAATGACATGACTTTGCCTATGGAAAGTGAAGAAGGCTTGAAGCATTTACTTAAGAAGGTAAAAGAGTACAGCCTTCAATATACGTTACACTTCAACATCAAGAAAGCAAAAATTCTTACCACTGGACCAATAACATCATGATAATTGCCAAAGACTTTCATTTACTTGGATCCACAATCAACACCTGTGGTAGTAGCAGTCAAATCCAAAGATGTGTTTTATTAGGGAAATTGCTGTCAAGGACTTCTCCAAAATTTTGAAAAGCAAGGAAGTCAGTTTAAAGTCTAACATCAGCTTGATGAAAGCCATTGTATTCTTCATTTACTTGCTGTATATATGAAAAGTGGACAAGAAATAAAGAACACCAAAGAAGAATTGATGTCGTTGTATCGTGATGTTGGTGAAAAATATGAAATATTCCATTGCCTAGCAAAACAAACAAATCTGCCTTAAAGGAAGTGCAACCAGAGTGCCACTTAAAGGTACCAAGGGCAAAACTTCATCTCACTTACTTTGAGCATGTTCTCAGAAGGAACCAATCCTTGGAGAGAGACATCATCTTGGGAAAGGAAGAGGGTCAGAAAAAGAGAGGAAAACCCTCACTAAGAAGGACTGCCACCCCCCAGTTCGCTCCTCTCTTTGTGTGTGTGGGGAGGGCTGGGTGAGGAGAGAAGTGCAGCAATGAATGAATGTTGCTGTTGTTGTTATGTGCCGTTGAGTCGCCTGTGACTCATAGCGACCCTATGTACAACAGCCCTAAACTCCGCTCTGTCCCGTGCCAATCTCACTGTCTCCGACACTCCCATCCCAATTATCCCAGTCACTGAATCAATCCACCTCATAGAGGGCCTTCCTCTCCTGCGCTGTCCCTCCA